AATCACATAGAACAGGGCATCCCGGGAGTCCAATACAAACTGGTCCGCTATCTTGGCCAAGTGTGTCGTTTGTTTCAGGGACAAGTGTTCAGTCTCACCCCGGAGGAACTTTACCAAAGGCGCTAGCCCCAGGTCGTGCGCCTGGTGAGAGCAAATCCTTCTCCATCGTTCTCTGCGAACATTTTTCCGGGTCTTCCTCAAAGTCCTGGTAATCGGGGCTCCGGGGAGCGGCTGTCGGCTCATCCTCCAGACCGTCGGTTCCGAGGTCCTTGGTTCCGGGGTCGTCGGTTCCAGAGTCCTTGGTTCCAGAGTCGTCGAGCCCGGTTCCCGGAACCGACTTCTCTGTGGCCTTGACCTGTTTGGACTTCGAGCGCGTCACTGCGAGCACGTCGCCTCCTAAACCTCTTGAGGAGCACTTGGGTATATTCCGAGCTGTGGCTAAGAACGCGCACTCCATCAGCGACTGTTCCCGGGGGCTCGGGTCCTTCATCAGTTTTTCGTGGATCCGATTCAGGCCTTGGAGCACCTTGCGTTCCCCGGGGTCCGCGACCTCCAATGATGACTGGTCTTGGATGACTCGCTTGGAGATGTAGTCGGCAGCAGCGTTGAAATCTCTTTTCACGTGCACTAGGCGTAAAGACTTGAATCTAGTTTGGAGCCCTTCAGCCTCCTGGAGTAACCTCAACAGGTGGGGTTGGGTACAGCCATGACGCCCTGGAGCTGCTGTATTGCGAGGCGAGAGTCCCCGACCACAGCCAGTTCATGGACCCCCAGGTCTAGAGCGAGTTGCATGCCCTTGACTAGTCCAGAGTATTCGGCCTCATTCACGGTAGTTTTCCCCAGAAAGTGTCCCGTGGACTCGACGATTTCCCAACTCGGAAGACTCCAGAGGATGCAGACAGCGCCTCCCGATCCATCTCTCTTGGCGGCTCCGTCGAAGCTCATCAGGTGCCCGATGTGGTCACTAGAGAGCATCTCCAGGCTGATTGGGGGTGGGAACCCTTTTCCGGAACCAGGGTCTCGGCGACCTCGTCGAGGCGTTCCCGGGGGGTGATACCTGCTCCCAGGATCGCTGCCAAGCCATCTTCGTCGTTCTCAACTCGTCGAATGTCGAGATCCCAGGGGGACATATTGACTGCCCACTTGAGGCATCTTCCGTCCACCGTCTTGGATTTGAACAGCCATGCCAGCACCAAGTACCGGGTGTACACACGAATTTTCTTCTCGGAACAGCTGGTAATCATCGTGTGGCATGTGTTCAGGACGCAGAGCAGTGCTAAACCTCTTTTATCGGCGGGATGGTACCGAAGCTCGGCGTTTTGGAGAACCCGTCCCACGAACCGCACAAATATTATGGTGCCGTCGTGATCCTGCCCCAAAACCGCGCTGATGGCCCAGGGGTTGGCATGCAATATTATTACATACTGCCTCCCGGGGTCGGGGTGCTGGAGCAGTGGCGTCGACACTAGCCGGTCCTTGAGTATTTTGAACGCATGCTTGGGCTTCTCCAATTCTCGTCCGGAACGGAGTTGCTCGTCCGATGTTTCGTAGAGAGTGGCCGCGAGTACGAGTAGGTCCTCGATGAACTTGGCGTAGTAATTGAGGCTTCCGAGGAGGGACTGTACTCCTTTCTGGGCCTTCGGGAACGGCAAGTTGAGAACCGTTTCCGCTAGCTTCGGGGGCGTCCGGATTCCGTCCGAGCTGATGTCGTGCCCGAGGTACTTGCATTTCTTGACCCCGAACTCACTCTTTGGGAGGCTCACCGAAATGTTCCAGTACCGCAGTCGGTACAGGAGGGCATTCAGTGTTTTGCACAGGTCATCCCAGGACGGAGCTCCGTAGATAATGTCGTCAATGTACGAACTTCGGGACAGCACAGGCCCCATCTGTTTCGGGGCAACCCGGTTCTGGTGGAACACGGTGTCAGTGCTGGTCCTGGAGACCACCGCCCCCCGGGGCTCCGTGCCCTGGGATACCGGGTCATCCGAGTCCTCGGGAGAAATCCCCCAGAACTCTAACACCTCCGGGTCGATAAGCCGTTCCTCTTCCGGAGGTAACCGTACGAAGCCCCAGAGACAGTTATCCAAAAGCTGTTGGTAGATCAGAGGGGCGTTCTTCAGCCCGAACGGCATGCGCTTCCACTGAAAGTGTCCGAGCGGGCAAATGAAGGCCGAGATCAGCTGAGCTCGGGCTGTCATTGGAACCGCCCAGAACCCGCTCGCC